ATGTTATTTTCCTGGGAAGTCCATTTAAAAGCACAATTTAAATTAAACAACCAAAGCATTCCTTTCAATCCTTTCTTTCATGCTTAATAGCTCCTAATAGACTTACAGATCTGGAGTAATATTGATGTCTAGTCTAAATTCATGTTACTTCATGATATGGAAATTATTATATAGCAAATATTTAATTAGGCTGTAAGTAATATTCACAGTATTTCACAAAATTTCAGTGAGTATTTATGGCACTAAAATCAAAGCCAGAAGTTCATTTGTTTCTTTTGTCTTGTGCCTCTCAGCAGGTCTCTGCCATGGGTGACAGGGAAACAAGTAATCACTCAGAAGTGACTGACTTCATTCTTGTAGGCTTCAGGGTCCGCCCAGAGCTCCATCTTCTCCTCTTCCTGCTGTTTCTGCTTGTTTATACCATGATCCTTCTAGGGAACATTGGGATGATGGCCATTATCATAACTGATCCAAGACTGAACACACCAATGTATTTCTTCCTAGGAAACCTCTCCTTCATTGATTTCTTCTATTCATCTGTGATTGCACCCAAGGCTATGATCAACTTCTGGTCTGAGAGCAAGTCCATCTCCTTTGCAGGCTGTGTGACTCAGTTCTTTCTCTTTGCCTTCTTCATTGTGACCGAGGGATTTCTCCTGGCAGCCATGGCTTATGACCGCTTCATTGCCATCTGCAATCCACTCCTCTACTCTGTTCAGATGTCGGCACGTCTCTGTGTTCAGTTGGTGGCTGGTTCCTATTTCTGTGGATGTATCAGCTCAGTTCTTCAGACCAGCATGACATTCACCTTATCCTTCTGTGCTTCTCGGACCATTGACCACTTCTACTGTGATACCCGCCCACTTGAGAGGATTTCATGTTCTGATCTCTTTATCTATAAAATGGTATCTTTTTCTTTAACTAGCGTCATCATGTTGCCTACCATCATAGTCATCATTGTTTCTTACATGTATATTGTGTCTGCAGTTCTCAAGATAAGCTCCACGGAGGGACGTAAGAAAGCCTTTTCGACTTGCAGCTCTCACCTGGGAGTCGTAAGTGTGCTGTATGGAGCTGTCTTTTTTATGTATCTCACACCTGACAGATTTCCTGAGCTGAGTAAAGTGGCCTCCCTATGTTATACCCTAGTCACCCCCATGTTGAATCCTCTGATTTACTCTCTGAGAAATAAAGATGTCAAAGACAGTCTCAAAAAAATTCTCGAAAAGAAAAATATCATTCTTTGATTAACATTTCTCTTCCACCAACCTGTTATTTACTTAGTGTCCTTTGTGATTCTTAATGAAAGCTATTCTCATGAACATTATTATAGAAGCACTGTAAGTAGCTTTTTCCATGTAATGTTGTTGTTGCTGTTAAGTGCCATTCTAGTTAGGTTCTTACTCCTAGCGACCTTATGCACAACAGAATGGAACACTACATGTTCCTGCATCATCCTCACAATCATTGCTAAGTTTTTGCCTATTGTTGCAACCACTGTGCCAATCCAAAAAGAGTGGTTCTTCCTCTTTTTTCTGATTCTCTACTTTACCAAGGATGATGTCCTTTTGCAGACACTGTTCCTTTGTAATAAATCCATGTCCAAAGAACATGAGACAAAGTCTCACTGTCCTCGCTTCCAAGAGACACCCTGGCTGTGTACCCTCCAAGATGGATGTGTTCATTCTTCTGGCAGTCTTTGGCACACTCAATCATCTCTGCCAGCTCCACAACTCGAGCGCATCAGTTCTTCAGTCTTCCTTATTCATTGTCCAGCTTTAACACGTGTACGAAGGTATTGAATACACCATGGTTTGGGTCAGGTGCACCTAGGTGCTCAAAGTGACATCTTTGATTTTTACACTTTAAACAGATCTTTTGCAGCACATTTGCCTAATGAAATATGTCATGTTATTTCTTAACTGCTGTTTCCATGGGCATTGATTATTGATCCAAGTAAAATGAAACCTTGACAACTTCAACATTTTCTCTGTTTATCATGACATTGCTTATTAGTCCAGATATGAGAGTTTTAGTTTTTTTAATGTCCAGATGTAATCCATGCTGAAAGCTATAATTTTGATCTTCACCAGTAAGGGCTTCAAGTCTTCTTCACTTTCAGAAAACAAGGTTGTGTCATCCTCGTATCACAGATTATTAATTGCAGCCTTCCTTCAATCCTGTTGCCACAGTCTTCTTCATATAGTACAGCTTCTGAGATTATTTGCTCATCATAGATATCATGATTAAAGGGTAGAACCCTGACACAATCTTTGCTAATTTTAAACCAGAACAGTTGTTCTGTTCAAATAATTGCCTATTACTAACAGGCAGATTCCACATGAACACAATTAAGTGTTTTGGAATTCTCATTCTTTGCAATGTTATCCATAATTTGTTATGATCCACACAGTTGAATGCCTTTGCATAGTCAATAAAACACAGGTAAGCATCTTTCTGGTGTTTTCTGCTTTCAGCCAAGATCCCTCTGACATCATTAATGATGTCCTCATTTCTTATCCTCTATTGAATCCAGCTTGATTTCTGGCTGCTTCCTTTTGATGGACTGCTGCAACTGTTTTTGCATTATCTTCTACAAAACTTTACTGCCCTGTGCTATTAGTAGCAATGTTTGATAATTTCCACATTCTGTTGGATCGCCTTTCTTTGGAATGGACACAAATATGATGGATCTATTCCAGTCAGTGGCCAGGTTACTATCTCCCAAATTTTTTGGCATAGATTAATGAGCATTTTCATATATTTGTTTAAACATCTCATTTGGTATTCCATCAATTTCTGGAGCTTTGTTTATTGCCAATGAATGCCTTCAGTGCAGCTTGGACTTCTTCCTTGAATACCATGGTTTCTTGGTCATATGTTACCTCCTGAAATGGTTTACCAATTCTTTTCAGTACAGTGCTTCTGTATTCCTTCCATCTTCTTTTGATGTTTCCTGTGCCATTCAATATTTTGCCTCCACAATTCTTCAGTATTACTGCTCAAGATTTGATTTTTTTTCTTTAATTCTCTCAGCTTGAGGAATGCCGAGCTTTAACTTGCTCTTGAACATAGAGTAGATAAAGCAAATGCAAGAAATGATGAAATAAAAGAGCTGAACATAACATTGAAAGAGCAGCTCAAGAAGACAGAGATCACTAGGTGGTTGATAATCAGATAAGTTCTTGCTGGGCTATTTGGAAGATGTATAAGACCAGAAACAGGGAAGTTCTGCAGCAGTTCATGTTATTGATGTGGAGTGGTAGTATACCTAGGTTGGCGAATAAGGACACACTTTAAAAAAATCAGATAAGATACTCAGATCATATTAACTGATTAGGTTAAGGAGAATGTGAAACAATGAGACATGTCTTCCCAATTTTAAACTTGAATTAGTGAGTGAGTCATAATAAAAAGCATAGCAGTAGGAAGTCTAGAGGAAATAAGTTCATTAACTATTTATTTAATTAAATAAATTGTTAATTATAAAATCTGGCATCACAATGCGTGATTTGAAATATTTTCTAACTGCATCAATTTGGGAAAGTTTCTTAATATTTGTCATATTTTTAAATCTATAAAATGGAAGCATCATAACTACTTCATTTTTGTGAGCATTGTATATTATCCATGTATTGGCTTAGAATCAGTTCCTGAGTGGCTCAAACAGTGTACTCTTGGCTAATAATCTGAAGATTGGTGGTTTGAATCCACCCAGTTCTGCTGTGCAAGAAAGGCTTGGTAATCTACTTCCATAATATTTCAGTCATCAAAATACTATAGATTGCAGTTCTATGTTGAAAAACGTGGTGTTGCCATGAATCATAATCTACAGCAACAGATTTATTTATTTTTTTTTTCATTAGTGCTTAGAATAGCATGTGGCATAGTATGTTGTTGTTGTTAGGTGCTGTCAAGTCATTTCCGACTCATAGCGACACTATGCACAGCAGAACGAAACACTGCCAGGTCCTGAGCCAGTTCCATGATTCTTGCTATACTTGAGCCCATTGCTGCTGCCACCATGTTAATCCTTCTCATTGAGGGTCTTCCCCTCTTTCATCAACCCTCCGCCTTACCAAGCATGACTTCCTTCTCCCTTTTGACAGCATGACCAAAGTGTGTAGGATAAAGTCTGGTCATTCTTGCCTCCAAGGAGCATTCTGGCTTCACTTCCTCCAGGACGGACCTGTTAGCTCTTTCAGCAGTCCATGGTACTTTCAGCATTCTTTGCCAACACCACAGTTCAAAAGCATCAACTCTTCTTTGGTCCTCCTTATTCGTTGTCCAGCTCTCACATGCTTATGAGGTGATTGAAAATACCATGGCTTGTGTCAGGTGCACCTTAGTCCTCAGGGAGACATCTTTGCTCGTCAGCACTTGAAAGAGGCCCTTTGCAGCTGATTTGCCCAGTGTTATACTCTGGTAGCATAGTGGCTATGGCACTTGACTGCTAACCAGAAGTCTGGTGGTTCAAATCCACCAGCCACTCCTCGGAAGGAAGATGGGGCAATCTACTTCTGCAGCGATACTGCCTTGGAAACCCAAGGAGGGGTCGCTATGAGTCAGGTCTGACTCGATGGCAATCAACAACATACATCATCTGATGTCCTAACTGCTGCTTCCATTGGCATTGATTGTAGATACAAGCAATGTAAAGTCTCTGACACTTTCAATCTTTTCTCCATTTATTGTAATGTTGCTTATAGGTCCATTTGTGAGGATTTTCATTTTCTTTGTATTGAGATGTAATCCATACTGCATACTGTATTCTTCAATCTTCATCAGTGGCATAGTATAAGCACCGATAATATAGTTTATTGTTACAGTTATCACTATCATCAAAACAATATTTTTTTATCTGGTCATTTTTGTGGTGTGGTTTTGGAATATAATAGTGAATAAGTTAGCCCCTTTATCTCATCCTGTGGAGATTATAATTAGTAAGCAAGATCAAATTAATAAAATAGAAAAATCAACACAAACATAATTGCTAGGCAATACAAATAAGCCATGCAAGGGGAATATCAAATAGATTTGACTCTTATTTTCAGGTCAAGAAAAGGAGCCACTTACGACATATTTTTTTTTCTTACAAATTTGAAGGATATTTATTTTACCTTGATAAAGAGGTGAAAGGACAGAATATTTTAGGAAGAATGAATAGTATGTGCAAAGAACATAAGGTGGAGAGTGTTTTGGTTACACAGTGCCTCTCTAACAGAGGATACCACAAATGGGATAGCTTTAACAAACAGGAGTTTATTCTTACAATTTTAGGAGGCTAGAAGTCCGAATTCCAAGTGCCAAGCTCTAGGGGTGTGTGAAAGCCCCTTGATCTTGGCCTTAAGCTCTACCTCTTGCTCCTGGACCACTGAAACTAGAGGCATCTCTTCACTCAAGCAGCTACTGGCTGTTGAGGCTAACAAGCTCAAGGTCAGCAAATAAAATGGCACGGTCCTGATATTACCAAACAACACAGCAGGGAATTGATTCAAGTCCACTGAAAGTCCCAAGATCGGCAGAGCATGGTAGGCTGCTGAACAACCACTCAGCTACATGTGGGGTTCAACGTGCTGTCAGCTAGAGACCATTCCCAAAGCTGCTTCTTACCTATAGGAAGCAGACCACATTCCTAAAGCAGCTACTCATCTGCTTGTGGTAGATCCCACCATGGAGCTGACTGCCAGTCTCATCATGGGGAATAACTACCACCAGCTGCCTAGCCACCCAACCAGGCCCTGCCAAGTTGACACACAACCTTAACTATCACAGAGAGAAGAACAAAACCTGAGAAGTTAGAGTAGAAAGAATGAGAGAGAAAATGACTCAAAATGGCTAATGAGACTGTGAACATTAACAGTACTCACATCATGTGGGCATAAAATGAATTTTAGTCTTTTTCCTAATAATAAAGAGAAGCCATTTAAGGAGGTATAAATAAAGGAGTGTTGTGGTTAAAAAAAAGTCACTGGAAATGCAGGTTAGAAAAAGAACAGAAAACAAAAGAATCACTATAGGAAATCTATTCAGAGATAATTTTGTTAGTAGAGGAAAAGGATTATGGTAGCTTCTATAAATATGTTGAATGATACTATTTCTGCCTCAGTTTTTACTTACAACATACATTACTCTAAAAATATCTTCCTACAAAATCTTTTCTTCAATATGTTCTGATTAAATTTATTTCTAGATTGTGGGGAGGGTTCATAATTCATCCAATGGGCTATTTTATAAATATGTGTATTGAAAGTCTGTTTAA